TCAGTTGATCCAAAATTCAACTATCAACCTCTTGATCTTGAGAAATGATTTGAGTCATGAAATTAGGTCAACATGTTGTGTTTGAGTCCTTGAGATTATGCTTTCAACCATTAGGTCATGTACTAGGTCAAAAGTCAATTATCAGCCATTCTTAGTCAAAACCCTAATTTGGTCAATTTTGCCCTTTTGATGATTTGAGTGATTTTCTTGAGGAGTTATGATCAAACCCTTATAAATTGATAAATATGACTTAAAAATGTTGATTTTGTCCAAAAATTATGAATTTTGACTGTATATTAACCACAGTTGACTTTTTACCCAATACATATGATTTTCAGTCATCTGAGCAATTGACTGAGCAAATTTGTGGTGAAAGACTTGAAACTTGGCATGAGCATTCTTGAAGACCTATAATGAACCATGAAAGTCACTTGAGGTATTAAAATTCCAACTTTCCTTGTGAAAACCAAAACCCTAATTTGTGGTCTTAGTGCTTAAGAGGTGAGCTTATCTGATCAACTCTTCAGCATCCTTGAGCATTTGAGATCTTTTGTGGGAAACGTTTTGAAGAAAAGGGAGGGCAAATTTTGGGGTACAACAGCTGCCCCTGTTCAATCTTCTTAAACCTGAAGAGTTAGATTGACTTGTCCGCCATTCGTGACTTGAAGGTAGAAGAAGATTGAACACTTAAGTGTCCAGAAATTTGCACTCACTTGTGCATGAAGTAAAACTGTTTGTTGATTATATCGGCAATGAGCTTAGAGATGACATTTGGAGAGGCAATGAAGAATTTTTAGAGATAGACTTATAGATGTCATCCAAAGTAACTGTTGATAGTGAAATTAGACTAAGTCTATGCTTTAATCCGAGCTAGAAAATGTCTACTGGAAGAAGTATCAGAATAAATCTTTGGTCGATTTAATCTGAGCCAGCAGAGGTCTTCGTCTATCTTTAACTGGAAGAAGTATCAGAATAAATATTTAGTAGATTTAATATGAGCCATAAAAGGTCTAATGAGAGAAGTATCAGAATAAATCTTTAGTCGATTTAGTCTGAGCCAACAGAGGTCTTTAACTCTTTAACTGGGAGAAGTATCAGAATAAATCTTTGGTCGATTTAATCTAAGCCAGAAAAGGCTACTGAGAGAAGTATCAGAATAAATCTTTTTTCGATTTGATCTGAGCCAACAAAGGTCTTTAAGTATTTAATTGAGAGAAGTATCAGAATAAATCTTTGGTCGATTTAATCTGAGCCAGAAAAGGTCTATTGAGAGAAGTATCAGAATAACTCGATTTGAGGTGCCGTTTGAAGCGTTTGATAAATGACGCGATGAAACTTAGTTGGATGGAATAAAATGTGAAATAAGAAGTATTTACCCAATACCTAAGCTAGAATCATGTTAGGTTCCTCATATTGAATTATAATGATGTTTGATTTATTATGATGATATGATGATGTTATAATGATGTTTTTTTAATTATGATGATATGATGATGTTATAATAATATATGGTTTATTATGATGATAAGATGATGTTATAAAGATGTTTTTTTATTACAATGATATGATGATGTTTTGATGAATTCATGAATAATGATGCGTTTTGACTAGTCGTGATCATATTTATTATGTTGTTGTGTATCATGCATTCATGGCATAGTTTAGGACTTCGATCCAGTGATGTTGATAGGACTTCGATCCAGTGAATATGATAGGATAATAGTCCAGTGAAGGCATCAATTCTTTAGTGTGGATTGAGTGTAAAATTTAAAGTGCTCTAGTTCCAAGTGGGAATTGATCCTATTGGTGGGGATCTTTGGAGATAACGATGACTGAGTCATCAGTGAAGGTTTGGTACCACATACATGAGTCTATGATGTTGTATTTCATTATAAGTGACATTGCATAATGATTTGATTAAATGATACTTGTTGATAAATGGTGTTTTGATGACATGTTGTTGTGTATTGATGATGTTGTGAAGGTGTGAGCTTAACATGGGGTTCTGATGATGTGTGATGCGTTGTCTAACTGCATGTCTGCTATATTTATTTCTTATGTATTTTATAATAATTATGATTTACTCACCCTTCTGCTTGGAAATGTTGTCTCTATCCATGGATAACTTGCAGGTGATCAGGATTATCCCGTCGAAGCATTAAAGGATAGATTCAGAGTGTGTTTATTTGCTTTCCGTTGAGTAGAGTGGGTCTTGCTCTGATATGTAACATAAAGGATGAGATCGTTTAAATTATGAACTCATGTTCTTTGTTTTGTTTCTAAGATGTTGGGTCACCTTTCATGGTACTCGAGTTATTTTGAATTCTGATTATGAATCATGAAGTGTGATGAAGTTTTATGAAGTATTATAATAAGATATTTTGAACCATGAATTCCACTGCGAGAAGTATGAATATGTCAATTAATTGTTATCCGAGAAGGATTTTGTCTTAAATAATTTTGAAGCCCGTATTACGGAGCAAGACAGATGCTCATCTGCCTGAGTGCGTCATGCGTCAGTTCGGGTACATGCAATATAATTTTCGGGATCATGTTGTATCTGCTCCTCCCCTGGTAAAATGGAGGGATACAAATGCTTTGTTTGATTATTATGTTAATCATTTTGTGTCAGATGAGGCCCAGAGTACTTTAGCACAAGACGATTGGAGCTATGTAGACAGTTATATCATATGGTTTTTCAGGGTGTCTCATCCATATCTAGTACATGATACTTAAGAAAATTCATCGATGCAAGTTCATTAGGAGATTCTATAGGAGGAGCAGGCTAAGGTAGGTCATGCCACTGGTGTGTTGCCTAGGTGTCGTTGTATCATAGACATTGCACAAACGAGTATTGATGGAGGTCTGTTTCTTGATGGCTTTGATATTAGAGGTGTTCTAGATGCCATTATGACAGGGGCTCAGAAGGGTATGCAGTACAAGAAGCAGCAGAAGAATGCCGGGAGGGTAACGGACCGACTCATAGTCCGCCATATCCAGTAATCTTCTTCGTTGTTGGATAATATTTTGTTTATCGATTTTTGGATTATATTTAGATAATATTTGGGATTATCGCCTTTATTTGAGGAACTCGTCAGCTTTTTGTCCACCTACGTTGTCGCCTCAGTTGGTTAATTCAAATCTTCAATCTCAACTCCGATTTGTTGCGGCGTCTGAATTCCCGGTCCTTGATGTTGTTCCCCTTGATAAAGCTTGCTTCTTCTTTTTTGTTTTATTACAATTAGATGTTGCATGTATAAACATTTATTCACAGCGATTTTCCACTCAACCTTATCAAAACCTTATCACTCTTTCACTCACAGCAGCAAGAAGCTCCATCCATAATGAATTTTATAGCCTTACTGCCTCCTTGTTCGAAGGGCTCCCGGTAATTTCAATGTGGTTATCCTTAAATGTCTTTTATTGAGCATAGTCAACAAGCCACCGCTATCTCTTTCTAGGTTGATTCTCTTCATGAAGGGAAATGTATATTAATTCAACCTCTGTTTGGATAAATTGTTTATGTAGAAGCTATTTCAATTTTTTTTTCTTATAAGCTGAGTTTTAAATTATCATGGAGATTGGTGAAAATGATTTTTAAAAAACTTGTTGACTTGTTATAAAATATTTAAACAGTTTTACAGGTCTATGTCATTAGAATATTTTGAAGAAAGCAATTCAAACATTCCCTTATTTTTGCCAAAAGAGAATTTCTTACTTTCAAAATAATTTTTAAACATATAAATAATTTTTACTTTGGGTTTTCTGTTGTTGTTTCATTAGGAGGGTGAGATTGATGTAGTTGTGGGTGTTGTGACAAATGAATTAGTTGTATTAGTTGGGATATTTGGTAGCTCATGTGAGCTAACATTATAGAAAACCGTGGCCTATAAGAATGGCTACGGCCGTTTACTGAAAAACCGTCCCTAGTAATTTTTGGCAACGGTTTATGCACTTTAGACCTCGGATTTTTATTATTGCCAAAGTTCATTTTTGTCTACATACTTTTTTCGTTACTGTCTACATAGGAACTGAAGATGCATTTACGATTCCATCTGATAATTATATTTTCGATTTTAATTAGTGTTCAACAAAAAAAGATGTGTCTCGAAAATATATTTTCGATTACGTAAGAGCATTTACGGAATTGTATAGGGTGTTTTTCAACTCTATAAGGTGGAGTAAGAAATTCCCCAAAATCTATATAGTAGTGTAGATTTGGAGTCTCTTAAAAAGATCATTCTATATCAAAAATTGTTTGATGTTATAGTGATTTTTGATTTTATTTAATCTATTCTTCATGTTCTTGCTTTTTTTTCTTTCTTGAAGAATTATATTTACTATTGCTTTTTATGCAATATTCTTCTAATTGTTGATCTTTTTATTATTTATTATTATTTTAAAAATTTCTTAATGTATGGTGATTGTTCCATAGTTCAACTCTTTTTTCTAAAAAAAAGACATTTACGACAGTTTTGATATTTGCTTATTGTTTTCCTTTTCATAATTTAAAGGAATTTTCATGATATTTGATATTTATAAAGTTTATACTCTCAAAGTTTGGTTTCATTTCTTATGTTATTCAATAATTCCATTTTTTTAATAGTGTTTTAGTTTTCATTCAATGTAGACGTCTGTAACAATGTAACAACAATACCAACAATATCATCCGTATATCAAAATATATTAAATAGCAGGGGTTGTTCATCATCAAATTGATTAAACATTTATTTAATTAATCACCAACTCGATAACTAATTATATTCTATTGTTTAAATATTGCAGTTAAGTATTTATAACCTATTAGATGCATGCTCCTTGCAAAGTAACTACATATATTATAGTGACTCCATGCACACATACCATTTATTATAATCTTATTGGATATCAAAGAAATCCAACTTATAAGTTGGAAACATAGACAGCTTATTAAAAGTATTAAAAGTATCAGAAAACCAAGTCATGTCATGCATGCATGTACTTTTGCGCACATAGCAATACTAAGCACTAGAACACATCTTCAAGAAGTCTCTTAAAATTTCTGAATTAGAGGACATCTTGAAGAAAACTTCTTGTGCTTCGGTGTTGGAGTCAAAACACCATCCATATTCAATGTCAGGATTAGGATAACGAGCACAAAATCTTCCACTTTTCTTGTTTAAGCAATCAACATGAGATTGACACAATTTAGAATGTTCCCTAACCATGTTCATAACGTTTGGATATGATGGATATGTGCAGTAACCTCCAAATAGTGCAACAGGAATGCATCGACAATCCAAAGAGCGACATGGTGGCATCTCAAATGGTGAACAAGCACCCGAACAATCTGTCGCTTTTACCTTCTTCGTCAAGAACATTGCTGTAAATGGAAAAGGAAATTAGATTTGGAAGAATACACATACCATTACTATAAATAAAAATAAAATTATCGATGAATTTTAAAGAGAAAAAAAATTCTAACTAATTTCTAAATTTTGTGAGATTTAGAGAAATTATATTGTTATTAATTTTTCATAACTCTAAAATGTAAATAAATATGGACTATTAATATTGTGAAAAATATGATTAAAATACTTACAAAATGTGGCAAGCAAGAAGAGAATCAAAGAAGCGAGTCTAACATAAGCCATATTTTAACTGAAAGAGATAACCAAATTTTTTGTTTTGTTATGAGCTTAGATTTCTGTTGCATTAATTCGTTTTTGCATGCAAAGATTTAAAGAGACTTCCTTATACTAGCAATAATGAAGCTCCATACTTGTTTAATGCATGCATATTTCACAAATCACCATACTATATACATGTCTTACCAATCAACATATTATATACATGGTTCACCAAACAAGTATGTCCTGTGTAATTGATAGATCACGTTAAATTATATTCTTGAAAGTGGTTGTTAGGTAAATCTTCGATACAATCATGTATCTTTTACAACTGGATAGTAAAATCATCTAATGTGTTTTTCTCATTAAGTTTTTGGAAGTCTAATATAATAGAGTATGAAACTGGGCTTTATATATATATATATATATATATATATATATATATATATATATATATATATATATATATATATATATATATATATATATATATATATATATATATATATATATATATATATATATATATATATATATATATATATATATATATATATATATATATATATATATATATATATATATATATATATATATTACAAATTTTTTATATTTTTAAATATGTCAAAAATACTATTTATATAAGATTAATAATGGATAATAAATTAAAAATCTCAAAAATTTAAAGTTAAAAGGCTCAACTAAATAACATTTAAGTTTCAGTCTAATTTCTCACTCTATCATTATCGTGGAATTTACTTGAACCTTGTATTCAAGGATTTAAAATAACTCTTAAATTAAAAAATATTTTAAAAAAATACTACAAGAAAAATGTTCTTCAGCAATGTGATATTGCTCTGTTCGTAACCTCTTCAAGTCACCAAATCAAGAACATTTGAGATATAACGTAAAGATTGTTAGACGAAGTAGAAAATATCTGGATCAACTATTGTCTAATCCAAACTATTATCGAAAAATGCAAATATGAGTTAAATTAATATTATATGCAATGATAATAATAAGCAATCGAGACAATATATTTCCTCACATAACATGTTTGAATATAATCACTATAGAAACATATTTCCAATGAAATCTAATAAAACAAATACAAAGACAAAAATTATCAAGCACTTAGTATGCAATTGATATTGGTTAGCTTTTTCTTTTGTTTTATTGATTTCAAAAATCAATTAGAATCTTATAGGTTGTAATTCACTCAACAAAACAATTTTGAATTGACACATGGTTTATCTAAACAAGTTAATTGCACAGTCAACGAATTCAATAATTTGTGACTAAATGTAAATGAGAGAGATAAAGAAATAGATAGATAGAGAGAGGACACGAGGATTTGTTTAGTCAGTTCACCAATCATCCTTGCTATGGCTACATCTGCCCTCAATTCTGTTCGGAATTGAGATAATCAATCTTACTTTGCAAAAAATGTTTACAAGAGAAAAGTAGCAATTCAACCTTACAAACCATATGTTTGATATTGATTCTAACTCTTTCTCTTCCCTTGATTTGAGCTTGATCAAGTCGCCCAACAATACTGAAATTCTGATATAATAGAACTCAGACGTCCTATAGGATGTCGAGACATCTGATCTGAACATAACAACATAAGTAAGATATAAACATTGAAAACAATAATGAAAAGTAAAAACAACACATAGAATTGTTAACTCAGTTCAGTGCAAACTAATACCTACTCTGAGGGCTACCAAATCAGGAAGGAAATCCACTAGGTAGTGTCAATTCAAAGTTAAACTAATCCCAAGTTTACAACTTATCACTTAATCAATACCATGTGCAACTTCTACCTAGATCCTCCCTAGATATAAGAAATCCCATCTCACCTCCAATCACCACAATGATGTCTAACAATCCTAGTTATAGTTACTGTATCGATGACATTTAACCTAAATGAAGATCACTCTTCAATTACAAAAAAAAAATATCTTAATCAAGACACCCCTTGATTAAGAACAATATACTTGATCTTGCTTCACATCTTTGATCAAGATAAATACTTAGAGTTGCTTAACAGCTTCCTCCAAGAACAATACTACCTCTTGCTTAAAAGTTTTGAGGAGAATAATAACAGAGATTATAACTTTGTAACATAGTCCAACTCACAACTCGAGTGGATCATACAAACCAACTCTCCTAGAAAGTGGCACAGACTCAGCCCTAATAATATGAAAGTTACATTTTCGGCTGGTACCTTTTACTAGGTTACAATGCTTATATTTATAACCCATCTCCTAACTGGTCTGGGCTTCAAATCACAACATATCAGCAGAAACTTCTGCTACAAAATAGGTCTTCAATCATATTCTTCCTAATTTATCTCCAGAATTAGGAAGTGCATATTCTTCTTGATTTTGACTTGTATCTTTCAGACCTATAAAACAATGCCACATAGGATGCATAATATTCCTAAAATATTCTACATTTATTACATTATAACATAATCCAACTGTCCAGCTCAACACAGGTGTGATGTCAAACGATCCTGCATATGACATCTTATCTGATATGTTGCTCCAGATGATGAGAACTTCTCATCTCAACATGTCTCAACATAAAATAGGACTTCTTGTTCCATATGTTCTTCCCAACAAGTTAACATATTCCATTTTAAATATTACTGCTATATTAGTTTTACCAAATATAATATCAATCATAAAATCATAGAATTAACAAATACCAATTTGATTCACCGTCTCACGCTACTCCTTTGCAAGAAACCCCGTTCTTCAAAGCTTTCGCTCGACCAAATCCAAATTGTAAATTATTGTAACCTAATATTTTCAATTAATCATCCAGTTACTTTTACTCATCCAATCGAACCCACCGTTCTCTGAAACTTTCACTCAGTTGAATCATAATTTCAAAATCTTGTACAAAACCCTAATTCAACACTTTAATCTTGGTGGACAAACCTGTTGGAAGCGGTGTAGCGGCAAGAACCAAAAGTTTTAGAAATATTTATCTGGGAATTTATCGTGTCCACAGAGATTGGTTATTGAATTGTCGTTCGACAAATCTCTCGTAAATGAGTTTGGGGGATAAATGGGTTTGTAAAGAAAATGTTATCAACAGAAAATAAATGTAAACAAAATTAAAAACTAAGGAAGAACTTATCAAGCCTTCATATAATCTACTCATCACAGACTTAAATCTATCGACCAATTACATTCAACCTAACAATACTCATCAATGTCACTACGTATCACTCACAACCTAAGTCATTTCTAACCCAAATTGAGAGACCGACTGTATCACCAAGGAAATGATCTCTCTACCTCCTCAAAAACACAGAAGACAACTATGTAATCGCACTGACGATATCTCAGTATAGCACAACCACACAGAGGTAGTAAGATTTGATACCCAAGTAGATGTTAGCTCTAAATCTATCTCTAGAGTTTAGAAACTAACAGATAATCATTCTAAATAAGAATCTAAGCAGTATATGTCTGTAACAACTCAAATCCCTAGCATAGAGCAAAAATCTATGACAACAATCCATAAAGATTTGTAAATCAAGTTTTGTATAACGCCACAGGCGACAAATATACACAAGTTCAGAGTAAAATACATGTACAAACTCAACAAAAGAGAAATACATAGAGAGGAGAAGAGATAAACCACAAATCTTCTGGGTTGTCAGAGCCGATCAATGAGAAAGCCACCTCCAACCATCCATAAGCAAAGTCCTAGTGTTGTTAACTAAGCTAATCCACTACAAAAATGAGGTGGGTGGAGTTGGGAGAACAAAAATCTCTCCCAAAACCAACAACCTCCAAAATGAAACAAAATGAAAATATAAAGAAGATCTGATCTGCAACAATCTCCCGGCGAAATAAAAGCATCGCCTGGAGAAAGCTCCTATTTACAAGGCCCGGGAAAATCCACGTCTTCAACTGAAACAAATATCTTTTTTCTCCCGGCGACAAATTCACGTCGCCCGGCGATACATCTTCTCCTCGCCCAGCGAAACAGCAGCGAAGCAAGGCATGGAATTCATCAAAATTGGTCTTCAAATTTTTTCCCGGCGACGCTCCCTTTTGCCCGGCGATCCATGACAGGAAGACAACTTCTGTTTCTTTTTCTGCATAACTTATTATGGCTCAAATCTTGGCCTTATTCCTTTGCTGATCCAAAAATACATCTTGGAGTTTTATTCCTATTGCTCCAACAATGCTCAAATACCTACAAAATAAATGCAAAACTATCAAACGATACACTTTATACAAGAAAATGCATTATACACAAACTAAATGTATTTATACAAAAAGTTAGGTTATTCAGCTGATATTAACAACCAAGAGTCGATAAGTGAAACAACACTTATATACAAAAATTGCTACAATTTGCACTTATCAAACTCTCTCCAACTTGAATTATTGTTTGTCCTCAAACAAAGTCACATAACATATGGAACAAAGAATGATAAATCAAATAATCACGAATCAACATGTTTTGAAAACGGAAAACAAATGCAGTAGTTCAAATAAAAAACGGTACACACGAAAAAACATACTTACCATTAAACTACGACGATAACATAAACATGAAACAAATGCTAAATACAAAGAATATACCAAACATTATGAAACAATACTAGTTCATAAATGAATCACATCTAGCAAACACAATCATAGGTATATGAAAAACACACAAAAATGGGGTATTTTCACTCATCCAACAATCTTGCAAACAATAGACTAAATTATGCATTCGTCCAAAAATTTACATTGAAAATATAAAAACAAGAATCTCAAGGGCTTTTCAAGGTTGTAACGTGGTTTGGTTAACAAAACAAGTGATAAGGCCTAAAGCTAATCGAAACAAAAACTTGCCTAAACCTAAGGGAGTAATTACTTCCACAAAGTTTCAAACAATAGAATTTCAATCAAACTTCTTGTTCATCCCAAATTTAAAACCAACACACATCACTTATTCAATACAACATTATTCCATACTCTTTTTTGTTTTTCTTTTTTCAATGC